CATGCCATCTGCATCTTGGTTAATCAGTAGACTGATCTTCTTCTTCTGGCTGGGTATCTCTCTGTCCCTTCTCCTCCTCCTCTTCTTCTTCCTCAGTCATCTGCTCATCCATGGGGTCTGGGCTGATGGGGTGTCGCTGGTCGGCTCCCTCTGTGGTGGCTACCTGCCATAATACCCTCCATGTCTTGCGCTGCCGTGGTGTGAACCGGTACTGTGGGCTCGTCCATTCATGCTCGACCTGCGTTCGGGCGAAAAACATCAACATCTGCTGCCATGGCCTCACGTGCTCGGCGATGCTCTCCTCGTCCATGTACGCCTGCAACGGGGTGTGCCGGGTCTGGTGTCGCTCTGTGCGGATGGCCTCGATGCGGACGAAGTGGCCCAGCCGTGTGATGACTCGCTGGCTGGTACGGGCAACCTGCCCCATGGCCTCCCAGATGGCCCTCGCGGCCAGTTCATCTGGGCACGTGGTGTCATCCTCGGGCCGCTGGACGCAGTTGACCAGATCATTGGGTGCGATGTTGGTCAAGTACACCGGCCATCTGGTCCGCCGCAGCCATGGGTTGGCTTCATCGTGCTCCCCGGCCTGGATGACATTGCTGGTCTGCCGTTGCTGTTCCTGGTAAAACCGCTCCAGCTCATCAATGGCCTGGCTGGCTCTGTTCTGGTCTTGCGTGCCGGTATGCTCAGTAGTCTCCTTAGTCTGGATCTGTATGTAGTGGGAGCCCTTGCGCGATGCAAATATCTGCTGGAACTGCACCTTCTGGCATGATCTGTCCACCTCATCCTGTGCTGCCGTACGCTTTTGTGGCGCTGTACGGCCACGGCTGGGATATGGCGACCAGCTGTGCTTGTTCTGCCAGTGCTTGCGCATGGTGTTCATGTTCCCTGCCACATACTGGCACTGGGGATCCCGCTGGCACCTGTAGCCATCTTGAATGGGTAGTTCCGGGATTGGTTCATTCAGTATTGTGGGCAGTGTTAACTGTGTAGTATGTGGGCAGTGTTAACTGTGTAGTATCTCGAGCCACATTGTCCCACTGTTCAATGTTCTCCTTTATCTGCTGAACCACCGCATGCTTTAGCTGATGGGCAAGTCAGTGAACATGGGATGGACTTTGTGGGAAAGATAGAGGTTTTAATTCATGTAGCAGATCATATGATTGATCTCACTTTCTTCAATGTGATCTTTGCTTCCACTACAATGTGTCAAGATCTACATTGTGGCTCAGATCATCAGTTTATATTCTCCTTTATCTGCTGAACCACCGCATGCTTTAGCTGATGGGCCTTGCCTTTCAGATGCCGTTCAATCTCTGTTGGCCACACAGCGTGCTTGCACCGGCGGCATATGATAATGAGGTATGATTCACAGTGGATAAATAATTGATGTTCCATGTCGATGCTTGGTCTGTCTTGTGCATTGAATATATATATATTTCCTTCATTCAGTGTCTTTGTGTGAAACTTGACAGGATCTGATCTGGTGTGAATGTTTGTTTTTCTGTGTTTAAAATCACTCCAGAATGAAGCCTTTCAGTTTTCTTATATGTTTTGCTATTTTTATTTACTTTGTTGATCTTGCACCGCTTTGCACCGCTCCGTTGCCTGGGTGAAAATATATATATTTAGTTGGGTCTGGTTGGGTTGGTGGCTTACCCCATCAAACATCGCACCTCAACTCATTGACTTTGACACCACAATGTAACCCCTTCCCGGCGGAATTATCGCTTTTGATTTGGATATGTTGTATTCCATATCCACTACGGCCTACATGCAAAGTTTGAAGTAATGGGGTGGCTGGCTGCCGCAGAAGGGAAGGGAAGAGGGAGCTCGACCGCGACCGGGCCACTGCGGGCACGCGGCGGCGGGAGCGGGAGCACGCACGGGCGGCCAATCAGGGCGGGAGAAGATCGGACGGGGGCGCGTCGGACGGCGCACTAGGGTATAGTAATAACGGGGGGTTTGAATTGGTTCGTCCTCTCTACTACCAGCATGGCGCTGGTGTGAGAGAGCTCTTTTGCCCCAGTGGCCTAACATAAAAATAATATATAATAATAACCAGCCCCGCTGCTTACAGCTAACTCATCACATACAGGATCTTTGCTAATAAAATCTACCGAATTCTTGATTTGACATAATGTCTAATAAACAAGTCGGTTTTCATAAGTGAGTCAGTGAATAATTAAGTTAAGCGAGTCCATCATACAAGTGAGTTAATTACCTTGTACTGCCCCATCAAATTTGTATGTAGAGGTATTTTTGAAACAAACATCCAAATAAATACAGATATAAATATCTATACATGCAAATTTGATTGGGCAGTAACTTCGTACATTGTAGATAACTCGCTTATGTGACCGACTCGCTTATAGATTACATTATCATATGATGAGGCCACTTAGAGAACAGCAGTTCCTTCCTTCCGTGTAGTGGGTCCTTTCTTCTTGGCGAATCCTTCGAGCTGTATATCCTTACAACCTCTTTCCTTATGAGGCCCTGTTCTCCTTCCTTCTGAGGTCTTGCTTATTGTTTTGTTTGTTTTTTTTTTTCCCTTTTCTGTCTCTTTAAGAAGAAGGATTCCCTTATTTTTCTTTTTCTTTTGTTTTTAGGAAGAAGATAGCGGTAACTAGTATCAAAAAGCTAGCCATAAGATTGTTCAATTTTGCCCTTAATCCTTAACTATTCCATCCTAAGCTAATCCTTAAGACTTGCGAAGCCTGGAGGGCTTACGTAAAGATCCCTTACAGAGCCGTGAGGCTCGTTCTGTTTCTCACTTATCCCCTCGTCTGGCCGCTAGGACACAATTAGTGTATTTTTTAGTGTGTACATTAATGTATTAAATACACAGAAACTACTGAATAATATGAGGCATCAACTGTATTGATGTGTTTTAGTGTAATTTATGTAATCTACTTGATCTAGTTTTAATTAATATTATTAGAATGGAACTTCTTTCAACATTCTCTCTTCAAGTAGAAAGTAACATTGCTATATATTGTATAATTATATCTTGATTTTGAAGTTTTTTTTTTTATTCCCTTCTTCTCTCTTTCTTTTATACTGATATCAAATATAAGTTTGAGAAGATGACAGCGAAATTTACTGGTGATTTAAATTCAGATTTAATCAAATAATAAATAGAGAATTTGAGAATTTAAGAAGTTGAAGATAGAGCTGCTGATAGAATTTAACATGAAATATAATAATAGCAGTAATGTTAGTAATGTCAGTAGTAGTCAGTTGATGAAGAATATAAATATTGACAATAGCATGATGAATAATTCAATATAAAATTGATAATCAGATGCAATTAATAAGTATATGAGTTTTATAAAAAACTCTATATTGATTTGCTAGATCAATTCCATTTATATTATGATTATAATCATTAATAATGATAGAAATATCCCCTGCTTATTGTCAATTATCTTCAAATATTTTTTAAATTTGAGATTCATTAATAAAGATCAATTCTGAGTGTTTTCTGATACATTCAATAAAGCTGTCTGACACATGAATTGTAGACAGTAGTAATACTATGTTATTATCTTTTCGTTCAAGACAGAGAACTTCATTTTGAGGGGAATATTGTAGAGAATATAAATAAATAATTCAAAGTTTTTCAGCTTTTGTAGAAGAGAAGGCAGATTAGCAGAATAAATGATTTCACATACCTCAATTCCATGCTTTCAAAGATAACAAAATAGATCAACAGAGGTGAAGTAACTGTTCATATAAATTGAATAGTCAGCTATCTCTTTGCTGTTATTCAACTTCAGATGCTGCTCAGTACTCTGCTGCTCTGCTGCTTTGCTGCTCAATACTCTGCTACTTAATGCTCTGCTGCTCAATGCTCTGCAAAAATACTGACAGCTGTTCAATCAATTTCATTATAAAAGATTCAGTCTTGATAAATTCTGAAGTATAGACCATTGTATTTATATGAAGATTATTATGAAACATGGAAAAAATTTAAAAATAGTTTTGTTCTTTTAATTTAAAGATTTTATATCTTTGTTTGATTGATTTCTGAGGTATTTTAACTGTGTATTTTGACTGTTTAAAGAACTGAATCATCATTTTATCAATGAAAAGATTTGTGTGAGAGGTGATGATAGTGTGAAAAGTGAATAGTAGAAGATAGTATATAGCGTAGTGGAAGATAATAGCAATAGTAATTATAGTAGTAATAATAGTAGTGTAGTTGTAGCTAATCGCTAAGAAGAAAAAGAAAGAGAAAGAAGATGTGCGAAATACATACATCTGTATATATATACATATAGAAATAGCGGTAGCGAGAGCATAATAGGAAGAGGCAAGAATAAACGAAGATATAAACAAAGATAATATAATAATAAGGAAATAATAAACGAGTGCATTATAATTTGAATCTGAATTGTAGTGTTTCTAATATATTGTATGAAAGTTGAAGTATAAAGACTTTAATTTTTATATAAAAAAAGAGGAGAATTCTGATCTGTGAGAATTGAATATATGAATATATCTTTTAAACTATTCAAATTATTATTATTTCATGAAATCATAATGAATAAATCAGTTTTTGAACATCATTTCTATTTCAATAATCTTCAATTGCTGAAGATTTATATACTTTCATATAAATAATCTGTTAAAGAAATACTTTGATTTTTATAGAAGTAGTTGAATGTCAATTTTATGAATTAATGATTGAATTATTTTATATCTGCATCTCTTTGTACATATTGATGGAACAAATAATATTCTGAATATCACATTTTGATATATAGAAAGAGAATAAAGTGTATAGATTCTGTGAATCAATATCATTGAACAAATTGGTAACTGAAAAATAATAAGAAGATTTTATAAATTTGAATCTAATACTTTCTAAAGATGAAATGTCTGCAAGAAATTCACTGACAGATTGCTTTCACTTTACATCTGTTGTAATACACTCGCTTATTGTTTCCTTATTATATTATGTTTGCTTATTCTTACCTCTTTCCATTATGTTTTCGCTACCGCTATTTCTATATGTATTTCTCGCTACCGCTATTTCTATATGTATATATATATGAATGTATGTATTTTGCACATCTTCTTTTCTCTTTCTTTTCCTTCTTAGCGATTAGCTACAACTACTACTATTATTATTACTACAATTAGTATTGTTGTTATCTTCCACTACGCTATCTACTATCTTCCACTATTCACTCTTCACACTGTCATCACCCCTCACAGTTTCTAATCGCTGAGGGCATTTTTTACATTTGTTTTTGTACTAATTAATAAAAAAAATCAGGCAATCAATTAAAAGAAGCATTGAAAAATTGAAAATTATCTGTATAAATAATATTTCTATTTTAAAATAAATAGTGATTGCATTGTAGTAGATATGAGAAGATTTCAAGACAACAAATTAAATTACATAGAATTTAGTACGAGAAATTATTGGTTGGTACTTGAGAGCTGACAGCTTAGTTGTTACATTAATAGTATTACGCTAATTGTATTTTAGTGGCCAGACGAGGGGATAACAATTAAACTCAGAATGAAAGGCCGTACGTATCAAAATGTTTAAATGACTTACCATTTCACAATCCCTTTAATAATAATTATTGGATTTATTACTGTACCTTACTAAAAAAGGGAATTATATCTCAAAGAATAATATGGTAAAATCCCTTTTCTGTCGAGTTATAACTTTCTTCGGCCAGGAGGAAACTTTAATCACAGTTTAAATTTATCCGAATTTATCAACACAATATTAAAAGCCTTTGATTAACACATGATAACTAAGTCAATCTCAAATGCATGATGTTTTTCAATTAAACGGCGAAAAATCTGTTCATATTTGGCATTTATTGTAAGATAATTGAAGTTACAAACTTCCTTAAAGTTTACGAAAAAATAGATTCACACAAAAAATTCGAAATTAAAGTGCATACATCAAAATAATCATGCATTTTATGTCTATTTCTTCACATTTGTACCTTTTCAATTTTTGTTTATATGCTGCTTATTATGCCTTTGCAGCTGGAGTGTCGGTGAGTTGTGAAATCATATAGTTTTTCTCCATCCTTTTTTCCCACTTTTAAATTTACATATATATGGTAATTGTATATCATAGATACTGAAAGATATGCATGCTTAAAATATTAAACAAAAAAATATAGAAGTGAATAAACAAATAACTGAATCAGAATAGAATAATGAACTAATTTTTAATTTAATTAAACAGAATGAATTTATAACTACAGCTGAGCAGCTGAGCACACCTTTCAATTCTGATATATCAGTATTCCATGATATTGATAATGATAGGGATTTGCGTGCGTTTATAAAAGATGAAAAAGTTACAAGTTCTTCTCACCCCACTTATTATCAGCTTACGAACTTTATCAACACTTATTATAATGATCTGTTGTGGGAGAAAATACTCCATCTTAAGCAGGCATGGGGAAATACAGATGGTTCTCAGATGAGCCCGGAACAGATAGGTCAGAGGAAAACGTTTAAAAGCAGCTCTATAAAGTATCATACTACAAGGGGGAATAGACCATCCACTGGCAAAGTTGATTGTGCTCGATATACCTGCCATGTTACAAGGGATTGTCTTATTGTTGGTTGTGGAATTTGTTTTCATTTTGATCCAGCTTCTAATGTCGGAAAATGTGGTGATGCTGGATAGTTTCTAAAATATTCTTCTTCCAAGTCTTCAACGGGTAGTATCATATAGATCTATTATTTTTTTAACTTTACCATTATTCTCCCTTAGCTCCAGTGTGATATTTATGAAAAATAATCGTTTATTAATTACACGGAGCGAAGCGAAATCATTAGCAGCCTCTATTCTTGCCTCTGAATTATCTGCCTATCTATCTACGTGATATATGATCGATTTCTGATAGAATCAAAAATGCTAACTAGATTGCTAGCTATCTATCTACCTCTCTACCTTCCAATCAATATAGCTATTCAATATCCAATCAATCTCTATAAGAATAAACATCATCGTCTAGCTGCTCATCTATGTGACAATACTGACTGACTTGATGATTACCTGGCTGTCTATCTGTTTATTTATCTGCACATCTGCTTGAATGAATGATATCTACCAATGGTATATATTGATGATGATGGGTAGCGATGATATACAGCATGTATGTATGTATGTATTGATTTAGCGTCCCAGAGAAGACACAGGCAATGCCTGCACTTCAAAAGCCTCCCGAAGGGCATGGGGACGTGCTACGCTGGAGAAATCTTTATATACACAGTAATGATAGACACAGGATCCAGATAGCAACTCTTGAGAAGACTCAGTCTATATAGACTGTACGTCCACTTCTGGCCCGACATATGGCCATTCATGATAGAGATAAACAAAGCACACAAGTGCTACGGCAGGGCGATTGCTCGCAAGGAGCAGCAGCAGGACGATTGCTCACAGAGAGCAGAGGCAGGGCGGAGGCAGGGCGGAGGCAGGGTGATTGCTCGCAGGGAGCAGCAGCAGGGCGATTGCTCACAGGGAGCAGCGGCAGGGTGATTGCTCGCAGGGAGCAGCGGCAGAGCGATTGCTCACAGGGAGCAGCGGCAGGGTGATTGCTCGCAGGGAGCAGCGGCAGAGCGATTGCTCACAGAGAGCAGAGGCAGGGCGGAGGCAGGGCGGAGGCAGGGCGATTGCTCGCAGGGAGCAGCAGCAGGGCGATTGCTCGCAGAGCGCAAAGATCAAAGCCTGGAGGCCAATGAATGCTGAGTTCACTGAAAATCAGACACTCATAACAACCACTCTGCTCTTGGCCATCATCACTAGATGATGTTACCAGGCTGCACCACGAGGAGGTGGCAGAGTCGGACTTCGCAGCCCGATGATATACAGCAGTGATATGTAGTGATGATATATATTGATGGTGATATATCGATGATAGCTGGCGATGATATGGATTGATGATATTCAGCGATGATATCTAGTGATGATATTAATATGACTTCACACTCTTGCTCCATCTTTCTCAGCTGCATGTTTTATGAAGTTTCTGTTATACAATGTTGTGCCTGAGCTCTCCATTCTTTCAAAGCAATTAAAAACCCTGGGATTTAAAGGTTCATTTGCTCACCCACCCTCTGAAAGGGGGCCTGCTGACGGCGGACTTCTTCAAATAGTAAAAGAATAAAAGTAAAGTGAATTATGAGATAAATTATTTAAATAAAATATTATCTGATAAATTTAACTAGTTAAAATTATTTCATCATGATTTTGTATATTTAATCATATAATATAGTGTAGTTCTTATGACGGGTTAGCATTTGTTAGAAGTTAGCTTGTGCAATCAATGCTTTATGAATTTGCTCCACATTTGTGTAGCTTCTAACAATTCTTTCATGTAATCTTCATTTTGTATATGTGTAGTTCTAATCATTTCTCTGTATAATTCTTAACATTTTTTTACTTTGTGTTTCATTATAATGTGATCTCTAACATTCTTTTATTTCATTTCTTTTTTTATAAAAACTTTTTTATATAATTTTTTTTTTTTTAATTTTCTTTTTCACTTTTTTTTCTTAATAAATTGATTTTTCTCCATTAAAAATTTAAATAGCGCACGATTAATTCTTACATCTAAACACATCATTACATTAGAAGATCTGAATACTCATCATTAAATATATAAATCATCATATTTAAACATTCATAACAATCAACCTTGTTTATGAAGAGATTCAAATGTCTACAATGCTGTATCACTGCAAATAATGTTTACAAAGAAGCCTGATAAAACTTAGTATTATAACACTGTAAATAATATTTGTGAGAGATTTGAATGTCTATAAATATATTTTTAGAATTACATGTTTTTAAATACTGAAATAAGTTATTAATAAATTTACAATCATTCATTGCATTCAAACACAGCAGATAATAATTTAAATCTATAAAAGATTGTTCAACAGCAAATATTACAGATGATTGAATTGTAACAATAGTTTATTGAAATGAGCACATTTATATTTACTGTCTCTTTTACATTCACATTTTATGAAATATCTTCAAAAAAAAAACTCTCAATTTTCAACAAATATATATAAAATCTAATACTCTATATCATATGAAAATCAAAAACGAATACTAAATTAGATATCAATAATCAGATGATAAACTCATCATTAAATCAAACATGATACATCTATAACAAATTGAATGATGATGTGATAATAAAATTTCAACTTTGAATGAGTCATTGTCTGAATAATCAGTGTATATTAAAGTTCATTTTTCAACAATTCAACTATATCTTCCTCAGTTCTACATTTTAAATCAAGATATTAGATTGATTGTGTAATGAGTTAATATCTGATAGCAGTTAACTTGCACAATCAATGCTTTATAACTCTGCTTTATACTTGTGTAACATCTAACAATTATTTCATGTAATCTCTATTTCACATATATGTAGTTTCAATAATTTCTCTGCATAACTTTCAACATTGTTCCAGTCTGCATTTCATTTAATGAATTGATTAAGGAAAGAAAGGAAGAGAAAGAAGATCAGAAAAAAAGGTCATAGAAAGAGGTTTTTATAAAAAAAGAAATAAAATAAAAAAATATTGAAGATTGTGCTATAGCAGGGCACAGAGTGGCAGAATGTTAGAAATTCCACAGAAGAATGATTAAAACTACAAAAGCACAAAGTAGAGATTATATAAATGAATTGTTAAAATGCACTGTGATGAAGTGTGGAGTGGAAGAATGTTAAATATTATGCATTGATGAAGTGTAAAGTGAAAGAACATTAATTGTGCAAGTTAATTATTAACATATATTAATTTGTCACATTATCCTTTTTTACTGGAGTGAGTGAGGATTTGTAGATATCAAGAATGGCAGTGTTTTTCATGGTGAATGTGGGTTCTCAAATCAGACAATTGTATTCTATTCATTTAATGAGATATTTACAGCAGCAGTGATTTATTGTATTATTGAGAATTGTTTCAATCTCTCATTTAAATTTGTTATCTTCTTTTATAATGATAGATGATTGGAAATCAGAGATCTTTTATAAGACCAACAGATCTTCAGCAGCATATCATAGAAGGTTCATATAAAAAACATTATAAATGCTGAGTGAAATGTTAAATTTATAGTCATGAATGTTCAACACTTTCATCACTTTGTATTTGACATGACAATAGTCTAAGGTATAAGTAAAAAACAATCTGTTTTTATATTCTCATAATTTAATCAAATCTTGTTTTTTACACAATATTAAGTTGTAAAACTTTTTCTGATATTTATTTGATTTTCAAAATTTTATTGAACACTGATAATTAAAGTTTCTGCTTATTTATAAACTTTTTCGAACTTGTTTATATGTTCTCTGCTGTCTGTATAAAGCTGCAGATATATGCAATCTTCTGAAGAATTTTAGAAAAATTTATAATCTCTAAATTGTAATTATGTAAAAAAAAAATGAGCTTATACTGATTGTGACATAATCTTGATCATTTATAACAATCTCAATATATAGCAGCAGACTGCTTCAGTTGTCTTATATATAGTTGCAGAACTTTTATAGAATATTTTAAATTGATTATATCATTCTCTCAATAACTTCATTGATTTTTCAATGATATGCTGGTAACAATATTTGTTTAATTTTCAATAATTAATATCCATATGTTCAAAGTGTGTTAATGAATTGATTGCTTGTATTTAATATAATGAATGAAAACAGATTATATTTATGATAGAATAAGCTTCTGATAAAAGTATTCATAACAATCTCAGCATTCATCTTGTCTTAAAATTGCAGTATTACCGGCTTACTGAGACAGTTGACAATGATTAGAATATTCATGAAGTCTCCACTCTCAGACAAAGAAACAGTGAAGTTGATGATTATATTATATCACATTCATTCAAAGATAGATAACAGATTTAGTATTTCTTTTCAATGTTCATATCATACTGTCACTGACTTGCAGCAGTCATAATTGCATACAAATTGATGTACATCTTTCAATATATTTAATCAATAAACTTTTCAGATAATGATGTTGTACGTAATTTCATACTTTAAATATTCAATCATTAATAAATCATAAATTTCTTGCATGATCTGTGTTGATAAAAATTCTGAGTCAGAAACTCATTATCTATTTTGAAACTGTAAACAGTTGTTGTTGTTGATTGAGTATGTTAAAATGTTTATTCTTGAATATACATCTAAGAGAAATTATAATGCTTTGTATTATACAGCTTCAACAATTTGTTGTCAAATATCATCTACTTTCATCATCTATTTTCATTATTCTTCAAGTGAAAGATTTTTGATTTCAAATTGATTAATATGTATGCAGAATTCATTCATCCATGTAAGACTTTTTATAATTGTAGAATTGATTAATTGATGTTTTCAATGTCTTTATCTGACATTCAGATCATTAAATATTATATTTTATTTTTAATAAAATAAACCATTTATAAGAATGTTCTCTACTTCTGAACAGTAATGAATTGTGAATGAAAAACAGTTAAAAAGTAACAATCAACATATATATCTTTCAGTGAGCTTCTAAATGATTGTGAAATATTTTAGATTTTATAATCAGTGATGATTTTGAATTTCTCAATGTTTATAAATTCTGATTCTCATTTCTCTAAACATTATATAATAGTTAAGAGATTTTTATTGTAGATTTCTGTGAGGGGTGATGACAGTGTGAAGAGTGAATAATAGAAGATAGTATATAGTGTAGTAGACGATATAGTAATAATAATTATAGTAATAGTGTAGTTGAAGTTGTAGCTAATCACTGAAGAGGAAAAGAAAGAGAAAGAAGATGTGCGAAATACATGCATTCATATATATATATACATATAAAAATAGTGATAGCGAGAGTATAATGAAAAGAGGTAAGAATAGACGAAGATATAAACAAAGATAATATAATAATAAGGAAATAATAAATGAGTGCATTACAATTGCTCCTCTTTTTTATAAGAGCTGCTTTCAGCAATTGTATAGATTGCTTGCTAGTAGATGTCTGCATTTCTGTATTGTAAGTGCTGTTTATTGATAGCAGTGTATTGATCATATCCTCTCAATAGCTTGTATATGCATTCTTATCAATTTCTTAATGAGGTAGAATTGATGGATTCTTTGGTTGCTAAGGGTTGCATGCAGAGAAACAAAAAGAATTTTTTTTCCTTTGAAAATTTCTCTTTTTTTTTAACTTGATCATTATTAAAACTCTTTGCTCTTCTGGTGTGATTTTTTCATTTCAAGAGAAATTTTTGTTTTTTTTTTAAAAAAAAAACTTCTTCATCGGATTTTTCCCCCCCTCTTTTCATTGAAATGAGCTCCATTGAATATCTCGATTTTAAGTAAGTTGTTCTCTGGGTGCTTATCGCGTATTATTGTTGGTGTTCTCTGTCAGTGGCGTTATTAGCGTGGTCACATGCTTCACTAACTTATTTCAGTATAGCATCATTCACTGTTCACTTGTTATGTTGCTCTAGCTTTAACTCTAATCATGTGATGTACAACAGTCGGATTTTATGTGAATGTTGTGCCATGAGATTTGAGGATGTTGATTTTCTATATGCATTGAATCTCAATGCTTGAAAGTGTTGTGAGGTTTGTATCTTTGCAGAAAAATTCTGCAAACCTGTGAGTGTTTTTCTTTGATTTCTATTTCTTTTTTCCCTTTCTTTAAATTTGTTTTTTGAATAAATAGTAGTGTTCTTAGCAATGTTGATATATTGATAATGATGTTAGATATGTGATACGCCTCGTTTGAGGTGCATTATGCACGGCTGAGTGTTTATTTTTGTGGGGGTGGCAGCTGGGGAGAATATGATTATTCACAAAAGTTACCTTTATCATTTGATAAAATGATTAGACACACCTCATTTGATGATGTTGTCTGCTCAAAGCAGGGCTGAAGTAAATGCTCTGTGATTCCAGCACTGAGCGGCAGCTGAGTCTGCAGAGATGCAGATTTTGAAGACAGTGATTGTGTTTGATTCATTCAGAGCAGAGGTGTTAGAGGAAGAGAAGGGTGTGAAGAAAAATGTGAGGGTTTTGGGGATGTTGAGCTTCATGAGCTCTGTGATGAAGGGGTTGATTGAGGAGGGGTTGATTGGAGAGAAGTTGATAGGAGAGGAGCTGGCTGAAGAGCCAATGGAGGAGGTTGTAGAGGCGTCTGTGACCGCAGTGCCACTGGCATCTGTGGAGCAGTGGAAGCAGATGCTCTGAATGGTGGAGGAGTGGAAGGAGAAGATGAAGAGAAACATCTTTGTCCACTAAATGTGCTGAAGAATGAATAAATTGATGAGAGAGAGAAGAAGTGAGGAGGTAAATGTTCTGTGAGATAGATATTTGCTTATACCTCTGCACTCAAAATGAATGCTGGTAATTTATGAATACTGAAAGGAGTATTGAGCGAGGGTGGTAGAGGGGGGGGATGAGAGGGATGATGGAAGAAAGAAGAGAAAATGAGAGATGAGGAATGAGATGGAAATGAGTGAACTGAAAATCTTTAGACTTTTCTTAGAATCCATTTCCTTTTTTTTTTTTTTTGTTTTAGTGTAGTTATTATACCTCAATTGAATTTTTTCCTTTTCCTTTTTTCTCTGATAAAATCCTTCTAAAAAAAATGCATTTAATTGAAGTTTGAATGAGATTTGCATTTCTAGCATTTTTTAACTTGAGATTTGTGCTTCTGGCATCTTTCGACTTGATATTCGCACTTTTGACATTTGAGAGTATGTTGGCTTTGTATTTGTCATTCATTTTCTTATTCAAAAAAGATTTTAAATGTCTGAGTGTTTAATATGTTTTCTTTCAATTCTCATGTATCACCACTAAATCCCTAATTTGTCCATCTCTAAGATATTCCAGAGGTTTGTTTTTTCATTGTTGTTTTTCAAGAATTTCTCAACTTGGTATTCTTCTTCATCATTGACAAGTTCCGGTCTTGATTCTGGTAAAGCTCCATTTCTGCGGTTGTATGGCTTCAATAAAGAAACATGAAATACAGAATGAATGTTTCTATATGAAGGCGGCAGTTCCAGTTTATACACTGGTTTTTCAATGGTATTCAGAATCTTGAAGAGTCAAACATATTTATGATTGAGTTTACAAACAGGGTGTAGTAATCAGAGGTTTTTTGCATTGAGTATGATGTAATCATCTATTTTAAATTGTTGAGATTTATGTTTTGCATTGTAATAAATTTTCTATGCTTGTTGTGCTTTTTGTAGGTTCTCAATGAGCTTGTGGTGTGTTTCCTCAATATATTTCGCGCGGCTAGCAGCATGTATGGCAACCGGTTGTGATGGTTTGCTGACATTAATTTTCAAATCAAATTAATATCCCACTAAAACCTCTGCAGATGCCATTCCAGTAGAGGTATGTTGAAAGATATTGTAAACAAAGTGTGTTAGTGATAGCTAGCGTGCTCAGTCATCTTGATGATAGTTGATAAAGCATCAAAGATAATGTTTCAAGGTTTAATTTTACCATTTCATTTGACTATCTATTTGAGGGTGAAAGACTGTTGAAAGTTTTCAGTGCATGCATAGCATATAACAAAAGATGGATCAGTAATGGCTTGTAAACAGCAAATCTTAATCAGATATATGGTTTTTAAATACTCTGTAAATTGTATAAAAATTTGATATAAACGATTTCCACTAGCTCATCTTCTGTAATGTTTTTGATACAAGAAATATAGATTGTAAACTTGGTATGTATATCCACAATCACTAAAATTGCATTGTAGATTTGGTGGAGGAATGTAGAGGCTGGCAAGCCTGTGGTGGAATTCATAGTAATGAATTCAAAAGAATTTGATGATAAGGAAATTGTACCCAACTCTTCATATTGTCTGTGCTGTTTTGACTTTACTCTTTGACAAGTATCACAAGTGAATATATAATTTTTAACATCTCTGACTGCTCATGCCAATAGTATTTATTTTGGATGTTGTTTATGAACTTTTTTATACCAAAGTGACCCCTCTGCAGATCATCATGATTTGCACTGATAATTTCATCAATGAGTGCCTTTTGTTGAGGGACATATGCGCGACCATCAGCATGCAATATATCATTCTCAGAAATTGTTCATAGCATATTTTTAGCAACAGTTATACTCTTTTTTTTTATCTTCTCTCTTTACTGAGTAGTAAAAGAATCAATCTTCTGTGCTTTACTCAGATATGAAGTGAAGGATTCAGGCATTTCTGTATATGCTGAGTCCATAAGAATAGCCTTATTGACTGCAATCAGGGGCATATATTGCTCAACACACATCAGAGGGGAAGAGTTTACGCGAGAGATATATGATGTCAATATATGAAGCACTTTTCACTCATTAAAAGGAGCATTTTGCTCATTAGAGACCCGTGCACAGACTACATCAGAAGAAATATCATTTTGAAAAGAAGTATCAGCTTTTCAATCTAATTTAACGCCATATTTCAGCTTCTGTTGCAGAGTAGATAACATAATTTGACCATTATAGACCTCACTGTAATCTGCACAATAACTGAGTTCATTAGCTGGATTTTTTATTTCAGAGTGATGTAGTAATATAAAATCATAAGCAGATAAAGCTTCTGCTCATTTGATCTGATGTCTGTTCAGTTTCTTAGTTGTCATAAAGTACTGCAGATTGGTATGATCACATCAGATTTGAATTGAATACTGATTTCTCTTCAGATAATGTCTTTAATTTTTAAATGCTGCTACAATAATCAAGATTTTTTTATCATGAGTATCATGATGTGTTTCTGCATCAATCAACTTTCTTGATCAGAAGGCAACTGAATGCCAGTATCTGTCATTCTGCTATTGTCACAGAATAACAGTGACTGTAAAAATGGATGCATCAGATTCAATCTGAATACACTGAGCTGGGTCAAAATGAGTTAATAAAGAAGCATGTATAAAATGTAATTTGAGCTCATTGAAAGCGCTTTGAGCATCTTCTGTTCATATAAAAGTGGCTTTTCTTTCCCCTTTCTTGCTTCCTTTTGTAAGTTTGAATAATGGGGCTGCAATAGAGGAGAAAGACTTAATAAATTGCTGATAGAAGTTAGTAAAGCTCAAAAAGGATTGAATCTCTTTAATTGATTTAAATGTAAGTCATTTCACAATAGTGGAGACTCTATCTGACTCCATCTCAATATCATTTGTATCTATAACAAACCTCGGAAATGGGACTTTGTCCACTTCAAACTCATATTTAAAGAGTTTTGCAAATAGATTTGCATGCTTGAGATATTCTAACACTTTAGTAACATGCACTTTTTATTCCTGCTTTAGATTGGAGAATATGAGAATGTCGTCTAAATAAACAACGCAACATATATCCAACAAATCAGACAAGGCATTGTTAATGTATGCTTGAAATGTCGCTGGAGTATTAGCTAATTCAAATGACATAATTATATATTCAAAATGTTCATATCTTCTTCCAAAGGCTGTCTTCCAACGGTCTTCTGCTGGTATAAGTATGCGTGGTAGGCATCTCAAAGGTGCAGCTTAGTGAATACCTTGGCTTTTGAGAGTCTATTAAGTAATTCACTTATTAGAGATAGAGGGTATCAGTTGTTGATGATGATTTAATTTAATTCCTTATAGTCTACATAAAGACAAAGTTCATCATCTTTTTTGAGAACAAAGAGAATTGATGCATCAGATAAGCTACTAAATGATTGTATCCACTTTTTATCTAATACATTCTTTAAATATTCTCCTAGAGCAGCTAACTCAGTTTCAAAAAGGTTATATATTGACATGAGTGGAGATTATGTATCAGATTTGAGATCTATGCAGTGTTCCATTTCTTCTGATCTTTATATGCTTATAGCAGCTTCTTCTGAGAAGATATGCGCGTATGGTATAACATAATCGGGTAAGCCGGTCAGCAAGTCTGAATATGCAGCTGAGAATATGTGTGAAGCATACTTTGAGTCTTTTAAACAGTCTGTAGATAATACTATAAGCATTTCTACTCTGACTTCAATGAGAACTTCAGTTAAAACATCTTGTTAAGAAATAATTTGAAGCTGTTGTTTATCTTAAGAGCTTGTTAAGAAATAATTTGAAGCTGTTGTTCATCTTCAGAGCTTCTGAAGAAGAATTGTCCATCTGATCAATCTATAAGAGGATTTGTTTGTTTCAATCAAGGAAATTCTAACACAAGATTATAGTCGTTCATTTTCATTGCATGGAAGGAATGAGATGTCTGCTGTGCATTACTCTTGTGATCAGTGACAGTGGTTGCAATATTATACTCTTTAAAGAAGTGCATTATATATTCATCAATTGATTTGACCATCTTGATTTTGTGATGAACAGCTTCTAGATTGTGATCTTTTGTCCAAAATTCATTGACATAGTTCACTTCTGATCCAGAGTCTACTAGTGCAGGCACTTTTTGCAGACTTTTATATGTAGTGATTTCCACTGTGACAGTGAAGCTTAAGGCATTTTTACATCGACTTTCCACATTTATAGTTGCCATTGCGAGCTGAATGATGTGCTTTAAGTGTTTTTTGAGTCCTTTGAGTTCTTCATATCTTTCACATTGAGTTTCGAGTCGGATTTAGTGTTTTTGAATTTATCTTTGGGTCGTTTAAAGCATGAATCGATGGTATGTCCTGGTTGATTGCAATAACAGCAATATTTTGATTGGGTGGAGTCATCGGAGTTTGTAATATCATTTCATCTGTGTTTGTTTTGTGGCTTATTATCAGCATTATTTCTATTGTTAAAGCTTTGAATAAAGTTTCTGAAGTTTGACTTCTCTTTAAATTTCTTCTGTCTTTCTAGCAGATTTGATTCTGTCATTGTAATTTTGTGAAGAGTGGCATCATAGCTTAACTGTTCTAGTTTGGTTGCATATTTGTCAAATTCTCAGTGAATGGAAGGTAGAACTTTCATATAGAGGTGTGATTTCCGATGGTATTCATTATCCCCTCGTCTGGCCGCGAGGCACAATTAGCGCCGTTTTTTAGCGTGTACGTTGGTGTATTAAAAACGCGAAATCTACTGGATTATATGATAGATCGGCTGTATTAGCGTGTTTTTATGTAATCTATGTAATCTATTTGATCTAGCCCTAATTAAGATATAGAATGGAACTCCTGCCAACACCGGCTTTTCAGACAGAGAGGAATATTATTACATGCAGCACAATCATATCTTAATCTTGAAGCTCTACCCTTATTCTGCTCTGCTATCTTTCTTTTATACTGACACCAGGCACAAGCTCGAGGTCCTGGCAGAGAAATTCGATGGTGATTTAGATTTGGGTTTGATCGAGTGGAAGGTAGAGGGCTTGAGAATTCAAGGAGTTGAAGATAGAGCTGCTGGCGGAATTGAACATGAGATAGAGTAGTAGAGCCAGAGCCCGCAGCAGTAGAGCCCGGAGCAGCAGTAGTCAATCTATGAAGAATATAAGCATTGACAATTGCATGATCAATAATCCAGTATAGAATTGACAACCACGTGCGATTAGTGGGCATATGAGTCTATAGATAATTTGTCCAAGAAATACCTTGATTTCTGCAGAAGTGGTTGACTGCCAATTCTGAGGATTGATGGCTGAGTTCTTTAATATCTGAATCTCTGCGTAGGCATTGGTGGAACAGGCAATATTCTGAATATCAGACTCTGAGATATAGAGAGAGAATAGGGCGTATGGATTCCGCGGATCAATATTGGGCAGATTGGCAGTTGCAGAGCGATGAGGAGATTCCATGGATTTGAATTTAATACTCTTCAGAGGTGGAATGTCTGTTAGAAGTGCATTGACAGATCGCTTTCGCTTTACACCTGTTTTTGTACTATCTAATAAATAAATCAGTCAATTTGATTAAAAGAAGCATTGAAGAATTGGAAATCACCTGTAGAGGTCATATTTCCATCTCAGAGTGGCCAGAGTGGCCAGGGTGGTTGCATTTGCAGTGGATATAAATCTGGATCAAGATTCAAGAGATTCCAAGGTTGCAGAACGCGTAGAGCAGAAAACGCGAGATAGTGGAGTAGTACCAGCAAATCAGATTACATAGAATTTAGTATGAGAAATTATTGGTTGGTATTTCAGAGCTAACAGCTTAGTTGTTACACTAATAGGATTGCGCTAATTGTGCCTCGCGGCCAGACGAGGGGATAAGAATATCACAGACGCCTTTCAATTGATTGTAAATGTGAAGTAAATTGTTGAATTGTCTGATTTTCTTGTCGCTCTGTTTTCCAGTACTGTCTATTTACATCTCAGCAACTTTTATCTAAATCAGTGATTTGACATTGCATTCAGTTAACAAATTCTTCCCATGGTGGCAAAATTTGCATATCATGTGTATGTTGATATCAATGTTGTTGCATCTCGACATTGAAATGAGTGACAACTTTGATGACCTTTCGATGATTGTGTTCATTGTAATAATCAAAATCACTGACATAGAAAGCGATAGAAGATGTAACAAAGTTTTCAAATTTTTTCATGCTTTGACCTCAGAACTTTTCCACATCTCTCTGAGAGGAGTCATCACTCATACTGAAATTTTGAAGTTCTAATTGCCAAAGTGGTACCCAACTACATCTCCCACTGACAGTAGTCACAGCACTTTCCACTAAGGTGTTGAGTGCTTGTAGTGTAGGTTCCAGTGGTCTGAGAATGCTTGTGGTGTTTTCACAGTTACAATTCACACTAGTTATATCTCTACCATGGTTCGGATGCGCTTCGAGTGTATTTTGAGTAGCTGGGATGGTTTCATTCAATTCTTGCAGTAAAGTATTGCATCAGTGTTGAAATTCTCACAATTTCTTCTGAGCTTATAACTTTTTAATTCTTCTAATCACAGCTATCTTCTCGGTCTCAATTGCATTCAAATCTTCAGAAGAGGTGTATCCTTCTGAATTATATTCAAAGTCTGATTTCATAGAAAAGATTGATGCTGGTTGCACACTTTCAATGACAGAGATATGCATTTCACAGTTTTCTTCACTGGTGTTTGTTGCTTCTGATTCAGCGGTAGCATGAGTACAGCGGATACTGTGGGTAGAGGTCATGACTATTACTCAACAAACTATCTCTTGAAAATTGAGAGATTAGAAAATGTGAGGGGTGATGACAGTGTGAAAAGTGAATAATAAAAGATAGTATATAGTGTAGTAGAAGATAATAGTAATAATAATTATAGTAGTAGTGTAGTTGAAGTTGAAGCTAATTGATGAAGAGGAAAAGAAAGAGAAAGAAGATGTGCGAAATACATGCATCTATATATATATATATATAGAAATAATAATAGCGAGAGTATAATGGAAAGAGGTAAGAATAAACGAAGATATAAACCAAGATAATATAATAATAAGAAAATAATAAACAAGTGCGTTACAATTTCATAGTTGCATTCAGTCAGAAACATCTTCTTTAATATGAAAGTAAAAAATTGTGAAATATTATTATTGTCATATTGCATCAACACTCTCTCAATTATATAGCTGAAGAAGTCTGTTTTGAGAATCATATATTTATCTGAATCAAACAATTGCAGAATCAGAGTGTTTGTGAACATGCATTTTAACTTTTTGAAAACTGCATTCACTTCACTGATTTATTGAAATACAGCATGTATGTATGTATGTATGTATAGGTTTAACGTCCCGGAGAAAACACGGGCAGCGCCCGTGTTTCAGAAGCCTCCCGAAGGGCATGGAGACGTGCTACGCTGGAGAGATTTCTATGTACACAGAGAGAGAAAACAGAATCCAGGTGGCAACTCTTGAGAAGACTCAGCTCATTGCAAAGGATTTTTCTGAGCTGCGCATCCACTTCTGGCCCGACGTATGGCCATTCATGGTGGGGCTATAGTGTGGTTCCCTGAGGGGACCGCCGCTGCCGTGCCTGGAAGGCTTTATAGTGAGCAGAGAGGGATACCTCTCTCAGTTGATCAGAAAGCTGTCTGTGCTTCTAACATCAGAAGAAAGACAGACAAGATAAATAATGAAGGAGAGAGCACTGAAGAAGGTTGTGACAGGAAAAGAGCAGAGAATGACAGAGAGAGCAAAGAAAAGAAGGAAGAAGAAGCATTTGAGCCGATAGAGACAAGGGCAAACGAGAGGAAAACAAAGCAGAGCACGCGTAGATACAATGCCGGCAGTCAAAACCATATCAGCTGAGTCAGACACGTAGACTGTACTGATTACACCACAGCTAATTGAGACAGATGAGCCTAGTTGTGCTATCTGTACTGTCTGCATAGACTGTGATGTCCCTGGCAGTTGCACTAGCTACCGTGGGTGTACTCAGCAGGCCGGCCTCGTGGAACTGCTGCGGGGGTTGTCAGATGGTTTGCAGCCAGCCGGCTGCGTTACCTTGTGCAGTACCGTGTGTAGAACTGCGTGCAGTCCAGCAGTTCTACAAAGTCTGTAGGGGTCAGAGACCCTAGATAGGCAACAGCTGTCGCCCGGTTGTGTGGCCGTGCTGCTGGCCTCTTGGGCCAGTGAAGAAAGTGCCTCTGTGAGTGTCGACAGAGCACCAAATGTTCTGGGCTCTTGTTGTGTCCACAGACACAGGTGAGCCTCGCATCTGCATGCTGGAAACGCCTGTGGTACCAGGAGAAGTCCCCATGAGAGGAGCGGAGTGCGAGCCAGCGGTGAAGGGCATGCCGTGGCATGGTGAGCTCCGGAGGGGCCTTCACTTGGTATTCCACAGTCGGCCTGCTGAAACTCCAGCCCCGGTACCAGTCAGAGAGCCTGCCACAGGCTCCACTCCACCACTTTCGCCTTGCCTCTTGGCTGAGCTGCTTGGCCACTGTGCGGACCCCACTGACTGTGGGTGTGGCCTCGAGACCATAGGCTGGGGCTGCAGTGGATGAGACTGCCCGCTTAGCCAAGCGGTCTGCTTCCTCATTGCCCTCTATCCCCATATGCCCAGGAGCCCATTTCAGGCCGACATTGTGCTGTCTGAGGAGCTCATGGCAGCGGTTGTAGGCCCAGTTTGAGGAGGCTGCTGCACTGCCCCGTATGCCCCAGATGACTGAGGTGTTGTCGAGGCAGAGCCAGATCTGAGGGTTGCTGCCTGCTGTCCTCTGTGACACAAGGTAGGAGCTTCACGGCGCACTCCAATGCCCGGCAGGCACCAACTGCCTCAGCGTCGAAGACATGTGACATAGGGCTCAGCGCAGCTGAGAAGCTGGCCAGCTGTTTATTTCCCTGATAGACTATGAAGCCATAGCCCACCTGCCTGCTGTTGTCAAGGTTCCGTTCTGATCCATCTGAGAAAACATATAGATCTGTTGAGGGTTGACTTCTCCACCATTCCTTGAATGCCTGAGCAGCACTCTTTTTGTCTACACCCTCTGTGGGGTCTGTCCCGCATCCCTCTGAGTAGTGTGGGATGGCAAGTGTGGGTCTATTGACTGCAGGTAGCAGCGCCCCCAACCGCTGGATCTTGGTCTTTGAGCGCTGCCGGGTTCCAGCCCCTCTTCCTCGTGTGATCATTGGAGGTGCTATCCGTGAAGCCAGTGGGTGCTTCTCATCCACCACCTGAAGCCTTGTCGCGAATCGAATTTTGGCCTCCTCCAGAGCTACCATTGCTGATGGGAGCCCAGCATCCCGGTATAGGGTAGCGATGGACGTTGTACGGAAAACTGGGAGGACCCCTCTGGCTGCCATAGTAAGCACCTTCTCAACTGTCCCCACATGCCATCCCAGGCGGGAGCTAACCTCCCCACTCCTGCCCGTGTGCCTTGCTGGCTGCGTGCGGCCGCCGTACCAGGCCTCTGTGCCATAGAGCAGTGAGGGAACCACGCAGGTGGTGACCGCCTTCCGCAGAGCGTCTGCTGGGGGCCCGTCTCTGGTCTTTCCCAGACTCCGGATGTGCTGGGCCACGGCCCTTGCCTTCTTTGCCCGGGTGGAGACATGTGGTCTCCAGGTGAGCCTTCTGTCGAAGTGTACACCCAGCCAGCGAAGTGCTGGCTCCTGTCCAGCTGGGGCAGTAACAGGGTGAACAGTGAGGTCCTCAGACACAACTACTGCTGGTGCCTCATTGTGTCGCTTTCTTGTAAGATGGATCATCTCAAGTTTCTCTGGTGCGAAGGCCACCTTGTTTATCTCCCCCCACCTCAGAATACTCTGTATATCTTGTCTGAGAAGGGTGGCATTGTTGTCAAGTGAGTGGGTCGCCCGCCAGATGTTCAGATCATCCGCATAGCCAAAGCGCAACTCCGAGTTTTGCCACAGCAGCTCTGCCAGGTACAGAAGGAACAGTATTGGTGACAAAGGAGACCCCTGTGGCGTGCCACATTGCATCTGATGTGCTGCTGTGGTGGTCCCCTCCAGCCGGACCTGAGCTCTGCGTTCAGTGAGGAAACTGTCAATGAGCTGCAGCAGCTCGCGTGGCCACCCCTGCTGCGCCATCCGCTGAAGCAGCCGCCTGCGCAGCACAGCATCAAAGGCACCCTGCACATCCATTGTGACCATGGACACTTCTTTGTTTTGTGCGAAGGCTGCCTCCACCTCATGAGTGAAAGCAGCTACCAGGTCCATTGCAGATCGTCTGGGCAGCGCCCCCCCATGCTGTGGGCTGACTATGCCGTGAATGAGTGCCGTGTAGGCCAGTCGCCTTGCAATGATGCGTTCCAGCCCTTTGGAGATTACTGAAAGCAGGGCAATGGGCCTCCAGGAGCGGACTGAGCTTCTATCTCTCTTACCCACCTTGGGTATCATTGCCACCTCTGCCAGTTTCCAGGCTCGTGGGAAGTGGCAGAGCCGGAGGCAGCAGTTGTATAGCTGCTGTATAAAGAGGGACACATGCTGCCAGCATGCTTTGAGCATCCGCACTGTGATTCCATCCGTGCCTGGGGAGGTGCTCTGTACCCCAATGGTGTTGCGCTCCACCTCCTCCATCCCAACCCGGGGGTTCCAGGGCAGGTTCCCCATGCCGCTCCAGTGCTCATCATCCAGTGGGTTGTACTCCAGATCATCAGCTGAGTTGTATCGCTTCAGAATTGCTTGTTGAAGTGCCTCAGCTTTGGCGGCTGTCTCTTCTATGACCTGATCCCCAATCACCAGAGGGGGTGCTCTGAGGTTGGGTTCCAGCTTATGCCATGCCACCACCCGGTACAGGTCTCTACCATCTCTGGCCTCATTGATCACCTGCCTCCAGTATGCACGCTTGGCCTTGCGCACTGCATCCTTGAACTGGTGCTTCGCGGCCTCTGTCTGGTGAGTGGTGAGCTCTCGGTGCGCTCTTCGGCAGTCTGCTGTCCACCAGGGGGCTGTGGTCCGCCCTTGTTGAGCTGGCTTACTGACTGCCTGAGCTGCAGCCAGAAGACTCTGAGTGAAGTGCTGGGCCAGATCATCAAGCTGTGCCACATTTCCAACCCCCTCTGGGCAAGGCATGTCCACCATGAGACCTCTGACAAGATCTGCAAAGGGCTCCAGCTGAGAGTCTGTGATCTTGATCCGAGCATCACTCGGCTGTGTTTGAGGTGTTGTTGGCAGCATAGTGATCATAGACTGGTGATCTGAGCCGCAGTGTAGATCTTGACGCACTGTAGTGGAAGCAAAGGCCACATTGGAGAAGGTGAGATCAATCACATGACCTGCTGCATGAGTCGGAACCCCTATCTCTCCCACAAAGTCCATCCCATGTTCACTGGCCCATTGGACAAGCTCCCCGCCCCGGTGCAGATTCACTGCCCCTGGTTCAAAGGCATCATGCCGTACGTTGATATCCCCACCTATCAGACAGCGGGCTGGTGGGCTCAGATTGGTCAGATAGTCCATGACTGCGTCTGTCTCAGGCTGTCTGTACACATTGAGAATGTGGCAGCCATTTACACTGACCCATAGCAGATCCCTGCTTTGCACAGACCGGTGTTGCTGTGCCCTTGTCTTTGAGCCCTTGCGTACATATGTCATGACCCGGGGCCTCTCCTCCTCTCGCTGCTCCGGGTTAGTGTCATCCCAGCGGTCTATAGGCGCAAAGCACTCATACGCTGGGTGGTTAGAAGTCTTGGTGCCAGGGTGTGTGTATGGCTCCTGTATACAGATCACTTCACAGCCCTGCTCGAAAGCAAGCTGCAAAGCTGCTGTGTGACAGGGGGCTGCCCTGGCTGTATTTGCCCAGAAGACCTGCAGGGGGCGATTTTCCTGCTGGTTGTTCCTGCGGCGCCAGCCGCGTCGCTGGTGTTGGTGTCCTAGCATGAGGAGTCACTTGGTGAGCTGCTGCCGAAGTCCACCTGCGGGATGAGGTTGAAGACCTCCAGACCTGCCATCTGCATGCTGGAGTCAGACTGTTCTTTAGCTGCTTGGCTGTGCTGCCGCACTGCTGTGCGAGCTGAGCGTCGCCTGGTGCGGGCCATCTGCCAGGTGGCACCCTCCTCACTGATGGAACTCTGAGTCGCCGCCCGCTTGCGGGGTGCTAGCCCAGCGGGCTGTGTTGACTGGGTTGACTGAGCGGTTGGTGTAGGCACCACCACTGCGACCATTGGTGCTGGCTGTGCTGGCGGCGGTTGCCGCTCCTGAGCATCCCTGTGGCACCTGTCGCCAAGGCGGCGAACAGCTGCTAGCTCTTTTTGAGTTAGGCGCCTGAGGGTGCCATTCACACGCCTGGGTGCGGCAGGGCAGTGCTGATGCCCAGCTGGGTAGGGTTGGCAGCAGTTGGCACATCTTGGCGCTCTCTTGCACTCCGCGCCTGTTGGCCCCTCATGCTGGCTTGTGGGCTCACTGCAGTTGGAGCATCTTGCCAGTCGCGCACACTTTGGTGGGTGGCAGAACCCCTGGCATCCTGGGTTATGTCTCACTGTCAAAGGCCGTTTCTCAATCAGCCTGGCCCTCTCACTGGCATTGAAGAGTGAGAAGCCTTTTACCGGGGCAAGGAAGGAGACAATCCATGTAATCTTCCCTGTCTTGGGGTTCACCCCATGACGCGAGGGTCGACAGCTCACTGGCTTTACCTTTGCCTGAGCCAGAACCTCTCCCTCAATCATCTTGTCTGTGGGGATTCTTGCCCCTTCCCAGTCCTGGACAAATTCTGGGACCCCTGGGACAGCATAATTGTACCACCGCTCTGGTAGCCGGATCTCCGTGGCGCCAAGGACTTCACAGAGAGTAGCCACTGCCTTCTCAGTGGTCAGAGCGTCGCGTATGCCTCTGTCGCTTGGTGTGATCGCCCAACCTGTCCTGGTGGGCTCCACCTTCGGCACATTGGCCACATCCCCCACCCCCTGAATGTTTGCAGCGATTGCCTGCCGCACAGCATATGGCTGTAGCCGGGCGACCCGTTTCCCTGGCTGGAGGGTGACGAGGACTCGTGGGTCCTCCTGCTGTTTTGTGCCCCCTGTGGGGCCCCCTGGCTGACTGGCGCTTTTGGGCTGCAGGCTCGCTCCACTAGCCCTGCCTGCCGAGGAAGCCGCAGTCTTGGCAGGGGCAACCCCAGGGAGGGCAGAGTTTTTCCCCCTCTGAGCAACACCCGCCCAGGTAGTCGGCTCCCTCGCACCTGTCTTTGCTGCATTTGGCTGCGGATGAGTATCCGGGGCAGCACCCCCTCTCAGAATTGATGTTGCATTCAGATCTGCTGTCACATACTTGACAAACCTCTCACAGAAGATTCGGGCAAAGTTCTGACTGACTGACTGCTTCTCCTCCTCAACCCAGCTGTCCAGAGTCTTTGCCAATCTGATGAGAGCCTTCTGCTGCAGGTTCTGTTGCTGCTGAGCCTCCTCAAACTGCTTCTGCAGTCGAGAGGTGGCCGTGGGGATGCTGTCGCTGGCTCCTTTGAGGACTGGGGGAGGCATTGTGACAGTCTTCCTCTGCCTCTTGCCAGCCTTTCCAGCGACAAAATTGGCCGGTGACTCCGGCTCCAGTGGCCTGGTGTAGGCCGTTTCGATGTCCTTGGGCGGACGGGAGGGCGTTGAGGGCTCCATGACCACTCAACCTGTGCAGTACACACACGTAGAGAGATCGCAGAGGGCGTGCGATGATATTGAACGGGTTGGAGGGTTAAAAATTATACGAAAAACAGTTGGAAAAGTGGAAAATTCAAATGTACCCCTACGTTCATGGGTAGTTGTAAGGATGAAGTAGTGTGAAGTACGCACAAAGGACATTAAGAAGGTAGCAATCTCTATTGTTCAAAGCTAATCGCTGTGTTCAATTTCATCAGCAGCTTTATCATCAACTCTTTGAATTTTCAAGTTCATTACCTTCCATTCAATTAAATTTAGATCTGAATCATCATCGGATTTCTCTGTCATCCACTGAAACTTGTGCTTGGTGTCAGTACAAAAGAAAGAGAACAGAAGAAAATAAAGATAGAACTTCAAGAACAAAATCTGATTGTGTTGTATGTAATAATATTCCCCTCTGTTTGAAGAGTCAGTGTTGGCAGAAGTTCCATTCTATATCTTAATTAGAGCTAGATCAAATAAATTACATATATTATATAAAAACATGCCAATACAGCCAATCCCTCATATAATCCAGTAGATTTTGTGTTTTTAATACACTAATGTACACACTAAAAAAAGGCGCTAATTGTGCCTGGCGGGCGCAGCACTGCTTAAATAGGCGTGGTCACGTGGCATTCTCTAGCAAGCAATAGGGATGCCAACAAGTCTGTTTACAACATCCAAATACAACTTATATATCTATATTTATAGAAAAAAATAGTAGTCATATTGTGAAATCAAATTAATCATTTAACTAGTATAAAGATTAGAAACTAAGTGCACAAGCTCACATTGTGTGCAAGAACATGGTGAAATACATAACATGTTGCCTTGATTGTTGACGCAAAGTCAGTTCTGAATGGCAGGTCATCCCATTGCAGCATAGAACAACTTGACAAAAACAAGACCCTTGATAAAATCGTGCGATGCCTGGGGATCTAGTGAATAGACACTTGGGTGAATTTGTAGAACTGGGAATGCAAGCTTAGCAAGAAGCAGTGATTTTAACCTATGATTACCTAGCAAGTATGAAATACGCCTTCGAAAATGAAGTTTACGCAGATATATCCAGCGCCGGTGGAAGCTATAAATATATCCACGGTAGCACCCATTTCCTTCGCATTTTCTGCTCTCCCTCTTTCTGGCTCCTGCTTCATTTGGCTTGGTTGATCAACCTTGCGCCGAACCCGCTATCCGTAACCGGCCATCTTGTTAACCAATCAAGTCTCCTTGACTCCCCACAACAGTGTCGCTGGACGTCATATTTCATTCCTTTCTCTCTTAGATTCCCTGATGCCTTTGGATTTCCATTTTAAAACCCCCTTAGGGTTAAACCCTTTTCTCCTCAACTTGTTTCGCTTCGCTCTTGCGATGTATGTTTCGTCTTCTTCCGCTTCAAAAGGCCCGAAAGCTTCGTCTCTTATCTGCTTGTCCTTCCCCTCATCAATAATAGGAGTTCTATCAACCATCTCATCCACATCATCGATCACGAGTTTTGAGCTCTTCAAGTTTGATTTACCTGCCGATTTGTTCGATGAAGGGCTTGGCCCTGTCTTCTTCAATTTGCAAACGTAGAAACCATCTACGTTCTCCCTATGGGGAAAGTAGCGCCTCGACAGCGACATTTTATCGTCGAACTTTTTCCCCATGTAACTCTTAAAGCCTGGAGTTCCAAAATTCCCCAAGCCAGTATCCACGATCTTGACATTTGGTCGATTGCGGAGGGCATATTGTACAACCGCTTCGTTCTCTTCTACTGTGACACTGCAAGTAGAGTACACGATATAACCACCTGTTTTAGACAGGTGATTAGTTGAATCTATTGCGGCCAGGAGGAGCTGCTTTTGCATATGCGGTAACGCGAGAAAATCGCGTTCAGATTTTGAGGTTTTGATGTTGGGATCCTTTGAAATGACACCCGTTCCCGAGCAAGGAGCGTCAAGTAATACACGATCGAAGCCACCGAGGATTTTGGGAAAGGCCTGTCTTGCATCGAGATTCGAGATGATTGTGTTCTTGCATCCGAGACGGTGGATATTACCAATCAACCCCTTAGCACGGGGTTTACTTGCGTCATTCGCAATAACACATCCAGTGTTTCGCATCAACGCTGATATGTATGTGGTTTTACCGCCGGGCGCAGCGGCCATATCGAGAACTCGCTCATTTGGCTGCGGAGCCAACGCCATGACGGGAAGGAAAGACGAGGCAGCTTGGAGGATGTAGTGGCCAGCGAGATATTCGGGTGTAGCACCCAATGGTATCGCGGATTCGAATATTTGCAAACCAACCTTCGACCATTTGCCGACAGGTTCAAGGACGACACCGCGGTTGATCAGGGCTTGGGCGAGCGAGCGCCGATTCGTGCGCAGGGTGTTTGTCCTAATGACAACAGGACGTGGAGATTCGTTGGCTTCGAAAAAGGCAAATGCCTCGCGGGGTGTGAAAAGCTTGAACAGTTTTTCAGCCAAGAATGGAGTATAACCGTAGTAGTTGCAGATGTCGGAAAGGAGAAGGTTTGTATAGTCTGCTCGGGATTTGCTGGGCTTTCCGAGTGAGGGTAGATCTCCAAGTATGCGTGTCGTCTCTGCAATGCGAGTCCGGAGGAGCTGGAGGTCGGGAGCCATTCCCGTCTGTTTCTGCGGCTGGCCATCCTCCTCAAATACCTCCATGGTATGACCCGCGATATTGGATTGGATGGCAGACTCATTGAGTTCTAATCGTGCTTGCTCCTCCACAACTTCTGCCTCCATATCCAATTTCCTTGACATACCTTCAATGTTCGCAGTAGTAAGCTTTGCCTCCGTAGAAGAGATAGCTTCGTCTTCCGAGAAGATGGCCTCGCGCGGCTGATCCTCTTCAGAGTCAAAGGCTGAATCCAAACCCCGGTCACTATCCGAGCGATGTGAAATTATTACAGCGTTATCACGATGATCGCTGACGCCGTCCGGATTTTCGAACTTAGGCGGTAGTAGGCCCTCTAAACCACTATGGGAAGCGGCCAGGCGGGATTCGACCAATTTCTCTGGAATCGAATTTGACAGTACCTTTTTTCCATCCGTTTTGACTCCAAACTCCTGGGACGTAACACCGGGATTATGAGGATGTTTTCCCTGTCTGGGGTGGTTTTTGTTCTCCGTGCGCCGCTTCTTTCCATCTTGAAGGTGGGTATCGTAGATATCTGATGGCCCGTGCCGTTTAAAAGTTGAAATCTTTGATTCATGTAGGGACGGGGGAGGGCCCTGTGTGTTCATCCGACGACTACCGCCCATTCTCGACTAGCAGTTGATGTCTTCCGGCGGGCAGGGTGTTACAAAGGCAAAGAGCTTCAAGTAGTAGTTGGAGTAGGGTTCTTACATTCAAGCTGTATATATATATATATTTTTTTTTTTTTTTTTTTGCTCTAACGCCAGAGATTTTCCGAACAGTATTACCGGAAATACCTACGGAGTACTTCGGCAAAATATGCCTCTCGAGGAATAGTCAGCTGTGCCATTCAACAATTTCTGGTTGGGTGCCAAGACATTCGCTTTACAGCACGTGATTAGGTGTACTGTGGGAGGATAACGTTGTTGTCATTACTAAAACTAACTACGCGAGAGCAACACAATATGTTGGGGGGCACGTGATAGGGTAGCCGTAGTACCACTAACACCCCCGTGCTACGGCGCCGCCAAAGCTCTGCCGCCCGGGGGCCCCCCCCTTGCTCAATTCTTCTAAAAACGCAATAATAATTAATTACAAGAATCAGACCCTGATTTCCTCTTTGGGAATAGGCTCCCGTATGGCAATAACCGTAAAAAACAGGATAACACAAGCAAAATCTGTAAACTCCCGTATCATCATTACCTTCACCCCTTCTTGCCAATTTCCATTAAGCCAATCCTCTTAACAAATTCTTCGAAGGCAGGCCTTGCCAGTGGCTTGGTGAGGCCGTCAGCTATATTGGCCGTAGAACCAACGTGTTCCATCATGATTTCGCCTTTTTCAACCAGATCGCGAAGGATATGGTATCTGATCTCGATGTGACGTGACCTCCTTGTCAAGGACTCCCCTTTTGCTAGATCTATCGCGCCCTTGTTGTCAACTCGCAGGTGCGAGCATACCTTCGCTTTCCCTTCTACTAATCCAGCATCAAATAACATGTCATTCAGCCAGATCACTTCGCACGCTGCCTCACTTGCCGCGATATACTCCGCCTCAGTGGTTGATTTTGCAACTGAGGTCTGCCGTTGCGACCGCCACGAGATTGGTGATCCGTTTAGCAGGATAATGTAACCTGTAGTTGACTTGTATTGGGGGTCTGCCCCTGCCCAATCTGAGTCGCTGTACGCGACAGGACTGAGTCCCCCAATCATCTCCTTCTTGTATAGGATTCCGTGATCCTTCGTTTTCTTGACGTAGCGTAGGACGTGTTTTAATGATGCCCAGCATTCCTTGTGCGGACGCGAGTTGAAACGTGAGAGGTAGTTGACCGCGAATGCCAGATCTGGTCTGCTGCTTGACACCAAATACTGCAGCGATCCTAAGCCTTGACGATATCTAGTAGCAGTAAAATCGTCATCTAACCCGCTATCTTCATCTGGTGAGAATTCTAGGCGTATGCCGGCCGCCATCGGCGTGCTGGCCGGGTTGACCTTGTCCATTCCAAAATCCTCAAGGATCTCATCGATATAACGGTTCTGGGTAACCGCTAGGTCGCCGTTCATTTGACGTTTGACTTCCATTCCAAGGTAGGGCTTGTTCTCTTCGACATCCTTTGTCTCAAACCTTTTAGCAATCTCTGCCAATATCCAGTCTAATTGCTGCTCTTGGGGTCCCGTTACCCGACAGTCATCGACGTGCAATGTCAGGTAGATCTTGCGAATAGGGTGATATAAGAATCCGCCATCGTACGGCGAGATTTTGAATCCTAGAGTGGTGAGGTGTTCCGTCGCAAGGAAATACCACACCCTCGCTGCTTGCTTCATCCCGTAAAGGCTCTGGCGGAGCAGGCCAACCAGGCCCCCCCTGCCGTGCTTAATCCCTGTAGGCAGTTGCATATATACCATCTCGTGCTGCGGTAGTATGCCGTTCAAGAACGCGGAGACGTAGTCGATCGCCTTTGCCTTCCACCCCTTTGCCGTTGAGATTGCGAATAAGCTCCGTGACGTGGGTCCTGATACCACCGCGGCGTACGACTTTGTATAGTGGACTCCTTGTTGTTGGAGGAATCCCCTAACCACCCAGCGAGCTCTAAACCGGATTGTTTCTCCCTTATTGTTCAACTTGCGATCAAACACCCATTTACCAGTTAAGATATCCATGCCTGGGGTCTTCTCAACGACAATATATGTCTGCTTGTTCTCAAACATGCTGACCTCTTTCTTCATCGCCTCATACCAGTAGTCCCAATCAGGGCTCCTTTTGGCTTCCGCCACGGTAGTTGGGCGGTCAGTTAGGGTGCTCAGGACAGGATCGTCCTCATTGGCAGGGTCTTCTGGTTCATCATTCTCGACAAGTTCTGTCTCATTATCTAGAAGGTATGTTGGATCTATCGCACCTTCAAGATCCCCATTGGCAATCATCTTCAAAACGTCAGGTTTCACCTTTGCTAGGTGTCGCAGGAGGCAGTGTTGCCACCCATCAGCAGCATCTAGTACGTCCAATTCTTCTGGTAATTCGCTCGATTGCCTCACCACGTTCGCAGGCGTGGTTTCACCCTTGTCTAGTCCTTCGTCGAATACGACATCTCGCGCGATTTCAAGGCGACGGCCAATTGGGTCCCAGATACGATATTGGTGCAGTCCTTGGTAGCCAACTAGCTGCCATTCCTTGCCGTCAGTCCTATCCGCGAGCTTATTGGTAACCTTTAGGTTCTTCTTGTAGACCTTGCACCCCCACCTGCGTATCCAATGGGCAGTAGGTTGCACCCCAGTCCATGCCTCAAATGGCGTAAGCGGAACTACTTGCTTGCATCCGTATATCTTAGTTGACGTTGGGGACGTGTTGATCATCATGATCGCGGCTTGCATCGCCTCACCCCACAATTCCTTAGCTAGTCCGCTATCAAATAGAAGGCTTCTTGTCTTTTCTGCAACAATCCTGTTGGCGCGTTCAGCAGGGCCGTTCGATTGCGGCGTATCAGGCGTAGTCGTTTCATACGCAATTCCTCTGCTCTGGCAGTAGGCCTTCAGATCTTGGCCTTTAAACTCGCTGCCACCATCCCAGTGTAGGGTGCCTACACGGCGTTGCGTAGTTGCCTCAATGCCTGTGATGAAGTTCATTAATCTCGCGGTAGACTCACCCTTCGACATCATCAAGATTGCCCATCGGTATCTCGTAGCGTCATCTGTTATCCCTAGCCAGTAGCTAGCACCCCCCCTAGTGGGTAGGTCGTTCCCGTCAAAAAGCGTTTTTCCACCCCCTGCTAGGTCGATGAAGAGTCTCATCGCCGGCTTGGTAGCTCGCGTCATGGGCGCAAAGGTTGGACGTGTCATCTTTGCTTGGACACAGACTTTGCAAAACGGTAAAGCTCGTTGGCCGATGATTCTCATTCCTAGGCGTGGATCTGCTGCCATTCTAGCGATATCCGCGGGATTTAGATGCCCTAATTTTTGGTGCCACTGTGTCATTGTTAGTTCTATAACCTTTATGTCGTTGTTGGGCAGCGCCAGTATCGCGTCAGTAGTCCTGTCGTCCGCCATCGCGTTGACAGGTTCAAATTTGCCGTTGGACAGGGCGAATCGAATTAGATCCTTGAAGGTAGGCGGCTTCTCCACCTCGTAGATATCATTGTCGTTCAACTTCGCCGTGAAGGAGAACGTTCTATCTGGGGACATAAAGAGCACGGCGTGGTTGCTTCCATATGCCAACTGCTTGAAGGTAAAGCCCTGGCGTACGAGCTTACCCATGCTCATGAGGTTCACTTCTAATTTCGGGACGTAGCGGACGCCAGTTAGTAGCATGTCCGCCCCTTCAACGGTGATCTTCGTGTCGCCTATCGCTGCGGCAGGCACTATCGTTCCATCTGCCATTTCCAACTTGACAGTATATTTTTGGGGCTTTGCCACGACAAGATCTTTATGAGGTGTTGCGTGGGCACCCGCACCCGAGTCTAGAATCCAGGTATCTCTCGTGGGTCTTTCGCTGCTCATGTAGGCCTTGTCCGTCATACAGAATACTTGTTCCACGACGTTATGGACAGGAGCAGTGCCAGCATTGGTATCACCCTTGTCCTTATCCTTATTGGCGTTGTTGGGATTGGACGGACGCTTCTCTGGGTATTTCTTCCAGCAATCGTTCTGGATATGACCGGTCTTCTGGCAATGGAAGCAGGTCCGTGTCTCACTGCCCTTCTTGTCAGATTTGGGGTCCTTCTCCTTCTCCTTATCCTTATCCTTGCCCTTCTTATCCTTCTTGTCGGATTTGGAGTCCTGCGCGTTGTTGGTAGGGTTCCTAGACGTGTCAGCATTGGATTCATCAGTTGTCGGAAGCCGCAAGAGGATATCGCGGCAAAGGGCCATGAAATCACTCTCTAAGGGTTGGGCGTTATCTTTCTCAATTTGGTCCATACGGTTCTTAATGAACGAGGCCCACCCTTTGCTTACCCCAGTAAGTAAGCAGTCAAAAAACATGAAATCTTCGACCCTATATCCTAGGCGGATATAGTCAGTCCTTATGGCGATCAAGCATTCGATAAACGCGCGATCAGAGCCTTTTGACTTGGCTGTCATGCTTGTCATCTCCTTGTATAACCTTGTCCTTAGGACAGCAGGCCTTTCAGCGAAATTGTCCTCTATGATAGACCATAGAGAATACGCAGATAATTCGCAATCCTTGGGTATAGTAAAATGAGATTTTGCCTGTGGGGCAACTGATGACCACATGTAGTTGTATAGCCACATGTTGCGTTCTTTCCAAATCGCTGCATATCAGTGCTGGCGTTATCATCAGGGCCTATTTGCTTCTCATCAAGGATGTCATCGGTTTCAGATTGCCTCGCTGCGAGGAGGATCTCTTCTTTCCACATGGGGTAGTTCCCAGATCCGGTCAGTACAACTGGCTTCCTTATGGGTCTCACTTGATCACGGAACTCATTAAGGATTTTCACGATAGCAGACGTTCTGCCTTTCCTCTGCAGATAGTTTGCTAGATCTGCACTGATGTTCTCATCACTTGTAGAGGCCTGACCCCTACCAGTTCTCATTTGTTGGACTTCATGTTGGAGTCTCGCGATCTCCAGTCTCATGCGAGTTTCTTCGCTCACATCATGGCTACTAGGGCCACCCGCGTTATCTGACATTTCGTTGTCGTTAACCGGGTCTTCGTATTCGATATTCGACTCGTTCGATTCCTCTTCGATTGTGTCGTCAGGTTCAAATGCCCCCGGGGCAGTCACCTTGTTGGTTGCAGGCGTTGGTAAACCTGCGTTCGATTCCTGTTGTGCCTCTGGCGTTTGGGGATTTCTTCTTCTACGCGTTGTCACGTATTCTTTCGTCAAATCAGGCGTTCCACCCGATCTCAAATTAACCATGGGGTTTAAATCGTCTAGGCACGCTTTTAACGATGCGTGGAGACGTTGTTAGCACGTTATTTCAGCGGTTCTGTTGCTTCTAAGGGCCATAACCTGTGGGAGGATAACGTTGTTGTCATTACTAAAACTAACTACGCGAGAGCAACACAATATGTTGGGGGCACGTGATAGGGTAGCCGTAGTACCACTAACATCACCCACCACGAGACAGGAGGCTACCACTCGTGGCGCGTTCCACGGGATCAAACGTAATTAATCTGCAATATGATGGGTCAAACAAACTGGCCACCTTTATGGCTTTTCAACGGCTGCTGAAGCTGAAGGGCGAAGGGGTTGCATAATCGAGAAAATTTCATTTAGCAGAAATGGCAAAAGGCAAACGGCAATAGAATAAATTAGTCAAGGGCGAAGTGGAAGTCGCTCGCAACATATTCCATCGATGGGCGTCAAATAGTTTAAAGCATGCGACGAAGGATAATTCTCTTTCCACATCTGCGGAAACCAAACCCGAGTACCCGAAACCATGGCGTCCAACGCCTCAATCCCGGCCCTAATAGTGTCCAAATCAGAAAGCACACACAACCTTGAGGATGGCGTTCCATTTGCATATGAAAATCTCCATGTGGGCGAGACTTATCTCAAGCTGGATAAAACGCTCTTCAGAATTACGCCTGATGCGAAGAAAGGACCACCATTAGAGGGGGATGTGATTACTGTTCTAAGCAAGCAAGGCGGTCGGTTGGTTCTTGAGCGAGATTATTCTTATGTTTCCAAGGGCGGAACGGCTGTAAGGCGCTTTGAGGTTGAAGCTATGAAGCTGGTAGCAAAGCGCACCTCCGTCCCTCTTCCTGAAGTTATTTACAGCCTCATAAGTGATCGCAGCGGCGAGATCGGGATGACAACTATTCCAGGCACTACACTAGAAAGCCTATGGGATAAGTTGAACAGCGAAACAAAAAAGTCTATATGCCTTGAGACATGGGATCAAATCGCCAAACTCCGAGAAATCCCACAACCACCTGCCTTAAAACAGTTCTTCCAGTGTCTTGCCGACGGCTCGCCAACTCTCGACCCTCTAATCGAAGACTTGGACCGCTGTGGAACCCCTTTATACACAGACGAAGACGTCAGAGCCCGAATATACCACCGCTACCTTCATTTTGGTGGTCTGCGATATAAAAATGAGCTACCAGACATGCTCCCTCGATCATCCCGTACGGTTTTTACACACGCTGACATTGCCCCACGCAACATCATGGTTGATGACCATTATCGCATTACCGGAATCCTCGACTGGGAGTATGCCGGCTGGTACCCTGATTACTGGGAGTATGCGCAGATCATGAGGCCCGCTTGCCAGACGGGCGATTGGCAGAAATGGATGGATCTCACTGCGCCCCGTAAATGGGATATCTCGGGAATAGCAGCCGCGAGACGAATTTTATTTTGATAACCGCCACAAACTTGCAAATAAATAGTACTACTTATTCGTCACGAACAGAGTGTCAACCCAGACATCCACAGGTTCTCGCCCATTGATTGGGTACTTCCGCCGCTGGCAGAGGCCAAAATTTGAGGAGGGTGAAGGCCATGATTCGATCGGATGCTATCGTTTCAATTCTGTGTTAGCGTTCTTATTGCTTAAAAGATCCGGCACTATTTGTCTCCCAATCGATAAAGGGCTTAAGCGCAGAGGAAATACTTGGCATTGGGCAACCAAAGTATACCAGTTAAGGGGCGTTAGTGAACGGGACGGCCCGGATCACAGCTGGCAAGTTGCTGCCGTTCCTGAGTGATTGCAATCGATGATTTAGAGAATGACTCCCTTCGGTCGCCTCTTTTGCACACAAGTCTATTCGCTCCCAACCGAGGTGTTTCTCAGCTCAGCAACTAGGGGTGACATGGATCATGCAGCACATCAGCGAGCGACTGGATCGGGCTGTTTTTTGAGCGCACGTTCTTCGCAGCGCGACGCTTGGATTTTTAAGCTGCATATCACAAACGTAAGGTAATTGTTTCTTATTTTAAAGCGTGGCACGCCGCAACGGAAGCGAGTCGAGGTATCAAGAACATACGATACAACCGACTAGAACCCTTTCTACCCTGTATCTCAAATCTCTGTCCAGCGTCTCGTAGGTTGTTTGTTTCAAAAATATGCCCGGAAATAAGATAATCCGTTCCGTTCACTTTGTTTACCACGTTTGCTCCATGTGGCTTCCGATTCGTAATTAAGCACATACAGCATTGTAGGGAGATTACTATAAGATTATGCCTTTAGAATGGATCCGAAAATACAAGAATTGTTGGCTGAGCTCGAGCGAGAAAGAGCTGAACTTGATCAAGAAAGACAAAGGCGTCAAGACGCGGAAGCTGAGGCGAGAAGCGAAAGAAGGCGGCGTGAAGAAGAGCAACAACGACGTGAAGAAGAGCAACGACGACATGAAGAAGCAGAAGCTTTGGCTGCGAGCTCGGAGTCATCAACACTGCCTCTGTTTTTACATGCCTGCCATGAATTGTTAGTCGCGATCGAGATCGTGACAGACCCTACTCGAACCACTCAAGGCGCGGTTACGAGACTGACAAATCGGAGGGTTCCATCTCGCATCACATTGTGGGACACATTCACTGAGGAGCAAATGAAGGTGTGGCACAAGCTTGATCAGCATCTCCATTTCTTGACAGAAAAGCTCTTCCCCTCTCTACATCAGCTCGACTACGTCCACCAACTTATCAGCCCAATTTCCTCAGAGTGGGATCTTCGGTACTATGAATGGGAAACGGTAGAAAATCAAGTGTGGGTCATAATAGACTGAATATATGAGAATGATGAGCTTAAGAGGGCATTCAGCTTGCGTGGATTGATTACCTTTGAAAGCCATGCTAACCTTGAGCTTTCAACGCAGGCGGCTGATTTGAACCCGGGTGATCAGCAGTCATCCGTTGAACCCATGGTCGGGACTGAATCAAGTACCGGAAAGAGAATGGGCAAGAAGAATAAAACAAAGAAAAAAAAGATCACAATGATCATGGGAGGACAGGCAGATCGATTCTGCATCTATCATCAGAATGGTGATGAGCACATCCCAGCGCTCACTATCGAGTACAAGGCACCCCACAAGCTCACTCGGGATGAAATTGTGGGAGGGCTGGCTCAGGACATTCATCCTTTCAAAGAAGTAATTGATAAGAACTCAGATGATTCTGATTTCTGCTTGAAGCAGTTAGTCACTGCCATCATCACACAGTTGTTCTTCTACATGGTTGTCAAGGGAGTCTGGTACAGCTATGTTTGCACCGGAGAAGCCTTTATCTTTCTGTACATTCTTGACAATCCATCATCCGTCATGTGTTCCGTCTGTACTCCCAGTCTAGATGTTGAAGAAATCAATGATGACAGTCTCCATTTAACTGCCGTCGCTCAGGTCCTAGCATTTATCTTAAGAGCTCTAGTGTCCCCTTCTGTGCTGCAAGAATGGTATGATGCCGTCGCGGAACTTGGCATCTGGCCGGTTGAATACTCGGATATCCTGGAGCAAACACCTCCAACTGCTCGGCAGAAGCATGCCTCACCTCTGTATTGCGGCCGACACCCTTCCAAGCTTCCTCCTTTTCAGATGACATTACAACCCAGATGCCGGCCACACACAGATATTGTACCTCGATCAAGAAGCCCTTCCCCCTCAATGTCTCCGCCTCCATCTCCATTGTCGCCATCCGCACGCCGTGGACGAACTGTAAACGCTCGAGCCCGCTCTAACCCAGATCAAAAATCTAGTAAGAAAGCGCAATTCAGTGAAGACAGTGATGCCAATTGGATAGACCATGCTGCTGAACCATCAAAGATCAAAAGCCAACCTTACTGTTCGCAGCAGTGCTTGCTGGCTCTACAAGATGATGGTCCGCTGGACACCTCCTGCCCGAACTATCTAGCTCACCTTAAGCGACGGATCCAAACAGCGGAGTTTCATGCTCTTATCCGAGAGCAGCTCTCCAGGGACCGTGGCCCGGATGCCAGCTGTCGCCCTCTCTACAAGAAGGGAAGTTGTGGGGCAGCATTTAAAATCCATCTTTTGTCGCATGGCTACACTCTACTTGCAAAGGGCGTCGAACGCAACAATTCACATAAACTCGAACATGAAAATGAAGTATACCACAGGCTTCACGATATTCAAGGCGACTACATTCCGGTTTGTCTCGGGATTGTTGTGCTTGACTCAAAATACCCGTATTACTATGACGAGGGAGTTTATACCCATATGCTCCTTTTGAGCTGGGCGGGAAAGCCCATCTCGGAAGTTATGAAATCGGATAATTCGGCATGCGTGATTGAGATGACATCACAGTCTCTTCAAGCGATTCACCTTGCAGGTGTACTGCACGGTGATGTCGAGCCACAAAATATTTTATGGAATGAGGACTGCAATCGCCCTATGCTTGTAGATTTTGAACGAGCTGAGATGCGAAATGCGCTATCTGCTATATCACTGAACCTCGGGCTAAAGAGGAGAAGGCTTGGGAAGAACAGATCTACCTTTTCTAAAGAACTTTCAAAAGCTCAGATCAGCCTGGAGCGCTGTAGGGAATTGCTCCGTCGGAATTCCGCCTCAAAGTTCAAGGAATAGCGCCATAAAAGCTAACATTCCAGAGCGTGAAGGAGCGGGCCCACAAGATTATCCTGTTTGAAAAGCTGTTTGATCTTTTGGTAACTAGTGCATATTTAAAAATTTTAATATCATTCGACTTTCAAACCTAATCTCATGAAACATAACCTCCAAGGACCTTCCCGATGACCTTAACAATGTATGGCTTCTGTCTCTGGCCCAATCAAAGCCATCTTTCCCCAGACCTTCACCCGTAATAATAAATTGAGAGTTCTAGGAGTATTTTCATCTTGGTAGTGCTAATGATATTGCTAATTATATTGCCCTACAAATGAATATCGGATATTAATTGTTTCCATTTTGCTTCGGGTTTGCATAAGGAGGAGATAAAAGAATGAAAAGGGAGAATTAGTGGTCATACATAGACCTAAAATATGCAGGCGGCACAGAAAGCCGAAAGCTGGCCAGCCGCACACTACGTCACTGTTGACTGACTTACTTTCTTTTCCTTTGCCCAGGCCCGAGCATTTAGGTATGCGGATGCTCCGTGCCGAAAGGTTCCCGGGTCACTGGTCATCGACCAGCCTTTGAGCTGGGTCATAATATACTCAGGGCGACGGCCTAGGCCTTCGGGCTCGGCGAGATGAGTTGTGCATAGCTTGAGTGTACCGCCATGATAAGTCGACGTAAGAGTGTAAGCATTGTTGTCATAAGTTGATCCGTCTTGTTGGTATGACTGGAGAGCATGCATACCCCGAGCTCCTAGTGCGCAAAATAACATCACAAAGTGCCGGTGTGAGGTGGAAATAGACGTGAGCTATGCAACTTCGTGCTAAGCTGATTAATGACTTTCCGTTGTTTTCTCTACCTTTTCTCCTACCAATGTCCCTATTACAAAACTACGATCGTACGAATCTAGTGCTGCAGACAAAGCATTTGCTACCTAATAACTCTTTATATAGCCAGTGAAAAATCTCGACTACATGATCCACAGGTCTCTGGCTCAGGAGAGAGACACTCTGGACAGAACCCGTGTCCTCACAGGAGGGTTTTCCACTCTGAAGGGATGGTATAGCATATTGGGCATTGGCATCGATGCTCTAGCTCGATGACCTCAGCCTTAAGCCTGCGGATCTCCTCATTGTTCCCGATCAGCTCTGCACGGTGTTCCACTTCTTCAGGCGCTGCACTTCTTCTTGTAGGTCCGTGATCTTCGCGGACTCTGCTTCAAATATGGTGTGAATTTCTTGATTTGCTGTCGCCTATCCTAATATCACCAGAACTACTTTCAGGTTGGGCATTGTGCGTTTCTCTAGCGGCTATAATGTTGTGGATGCGGAGGAATTGAGGAGCGCTCGGCCATCAAACAGAGCCTCATACTCCGGGAGGCTTGCGTATCAGGATGGCGGAAAGGGGCGTTGATGCGGGATGTCGCTCCGGCTGCCAACCAGGACCGGGGACGCTCGGGTATACCAAGAAATGGGGGGCAGTCACGGGGTGCTCGTCTCGGGTTCCAAGGTTGCTCTCCCCAGGCATTCAGGGCGAAGTCTGAAAATAGAACTCATGCAGCAATGGCGTCCCTTCCATAGCTGTCGCATGCGGATCACCGTGGGGAGGGACAAGAGGGTAGGTATCATTCGGCTGTGGCTGCGTACAGTAGAAGAGGGGATCGCATGGCAGTGCGATGGACAGGTGGGCTCGGCTTCTCCGGTTTTATTCAAGGCCACCTTATGGTCGATCACGATATCACTTTCATGTACATGGACATGGACTAGCATTACGTCTCACCCCTCCGGGGTTGCAGATTCGGCTGTGACACCGGCGGATTCGACCGTACGCATTCCCCTCTCTTGTTTCCGAAGCGTAGACACCCGCTGGCGCAGCGCCGATTCCGTCCTCTCTGGAAAACACCTCTCTATCTCCGGCCAGGGTCGGCGCTCCTCCATCATGCTCAGGAGCCGTGTGTCATCCTCGGGGAGCCATCGCCACAGCCTGTCTCTGTGGCCCTTTCTCCCCTCGCCGCGCTCACGCTGAGTTTTTCCAACCTTGTGAGGAGCCGAGCGACCGGTTGGCCGCACACTCTCGTCTCCCCATATTGCCGGCGCTGAGTGGGGCATGCAACTCGCCAAAGCACCTTCAAACAGCCAAGAAAGGAACTGCAGACGCTCGTCGAGCTGTAGCGACAGGAAATGGGAGCGAAGGGCTGTGGAGGAACCTTCCATAGCCGATGCAGAGGCAACGCGAAGCCGCTTTGCGGCCGGTTCTTCTGGTTGCTGTGGCCCTCGCTTGCGTCTCCTGGACTGTTCGTCGCTGAGGAAGTCGTCGCTCGTGCTGTAAGAGCAAGGCACATCAACGTCAGTGCCGCAACGGGCTTGGTGAATCTGCCGATGATCCAGAACGTGAGTGTCGTCATCTGTTTGAAAATTTCTATTCCAGCCGTCAGGCCTCTCTCGGGATCCTTGGTGATGGTTGGAGGCGTCACAGGACATAGACGGGGGAGGTTCAGGATATGGATAAACGGCCTTTGGGTTTGCAAGATCATCACCTTGCTGGACAGGCTGGTGAAGTTCACTAATGTCCCAAGGCGCGTCGTCGGCAAGGATCGCTGGGTCAATGGGGATGTTGTCCTGGAGATCCGGGAGCCTGAAGAAAGCTTCTAGGCTACCATCTGAGCTGGTTATGCTCGGCGACGACGAATCAGCCCCTGTGGCGCCTCTCCCAAGGGGAGGCAGTTCGGTCGGCGTATCAGAGATATTATCTTGGACATCACGGGCAGGGGTGGGATGCGAATTCCGGGCGTGATGTGCCAGATCACAGAGAGACGATACGCCATGCCGGGAATTCTCCGAACTGGGTGGTGGTATGGACATCTCTCTTGGTTGAGAGGGGGAGTTCAACGGCGCGCACGGCTGAGTATTACCGCTAATAGGCACGCAAACTTCGGCCGGCGGCTTCGAAGGAAGGCCATGCTTGGGGGGCAGCAGGGTGTTGGGGGAGACATCACAACGCGGGGCTGGGGCTGGGGGAGGGGGAGGGGGAGGGGGTTTTCTGGATTCTGGGGTGCGAGAATTGGGGCATTTGCGCAGTGAGAATGACTTGGGGTGCCGCGGCGTCCACGGCTTGAAGTTGTTCGCATGAAACGCGAGGGCCATCTGGGTAGGAGATTGGGGATCTGAGAGGGGAGATTCTGAGTCAGAGGTGGATTGGGGGAGTGGGAAGGAGAGTGGGAATTGGGCCTGAGGGAAGAGCGTGCGCGGGCGAGAGAAACAGATCACCAAGTGCCAGTGATTTCATAGGAGGCTCGGCCACCCTTTATAGTTGCTCTCATCGCAGAGGTTTCAGCTGCCTCACCATCTCCCACAGAAGAGGAAGCAACGGGCGAATCCCTCTGATCCCTGAATCTTCCCTGAGACTGCTGACGCGTCCGAAAGCCACCTGGAGGTCGATAACCGGTGCCCTGCACCAATCGCATATGGCTATCGCCACTTCCAACCCTGACATGTCGCAATCCTGACGAAACCCCGCCTTGGTCGACCTGCAGGCGTACACCGATACCAAAAAAGAAGTGCGGCAATTTTGCTATTGGCTGGGGAAAGGAAATGAGGCAGTCTGCCTTGGTGGGTCAAAGGGCGATGCAACCCTCCATGACTCAGGGCTCAGCAAGCACTCCGGCTCCAGGAGGCTCGCCCACCGGTCTTCCCCGTGGCCTCAATCGATCGTCGCCTGTTGCTTTTCCGCACAGATCTCCACGGACGAAAGGCGCCCAAGACAACAAAGTGCGGGAGATACGGGGGAACAGATCGACCGGATAAAACCCAACCATAAAAAAAAAAAAAAAAATAAATTAAAAATAAAAAATTAAAAATAAATAAAAAATTAAAATAAACCATTGGCAATCTGCGGTTCACAGTCGCCGATCGTACAACACGGCGAAGGCCATTGCCATTGCAACATGGCTGCAGATGTCCCAGCAGCCTAGACTCCAGATCAAGCGAAGTAACACCGCGAGGGGCGGCGTGGATGGCTCAGAAACCAATGAAGCAGCAGCCTGTAAGGTCGTCAGAAGACGTCCGTTCGGCGACTCCGCGGGCGCAGGAAGAAAAAGGGGCGAGGGCCGGGTAAGACGGCACCGGTTCCCCTGCAGGGGGGGAGGGGGCAGTGCATCCAGGCGCGAGCGAGCGAGCGAGCGAGAGAGAAAGAGAAAGAGGGAGAGGAAAGAAAGAGGAGGAGAGAGTGTGTGGTCGTTGTGAGGGCGCGGGACGGGTTTTTATAGATCGAGCGGCCGGCCGTTGAAGCGGCGTGAGGATGGCGCAAAAGCGGCGAGAGGCGACGCCATCCCCGAAGCGGCAACGGTGCTGCCGCAACGGGCCTAGCGCAGCAAGCGGACCAATGACGACGGCGCGCGGCGGTCTGGGCGCCCCGCTAACCGGCGCAAAAGATACTTTGTTTAAAATATGTTGTTTAGTTAACTATAAATATAACACATCCATAAGACTAAAAAATCGATCATGAACTCATCATTTCTAAATAGACTGACAGATGAAACTATAAATTATTATTTAATTTCATTTCATTTCATTTCATTCAGTCTTTGATGTGATTTCCAGTGCTATTAAGTCTCCAACACTTGTAAGCTTCTCATCAGATATAAGATAAGATAAGAATTTTATACAATGCTTGAGCTTGTTCACTAGATTAACAAGTAGTATCCTTATCATAAATTAAGATATATAAATCAGATATATCTAAAATCAATTATAATTAAGATGATAATCTAACCTCTTCAGAGCGGAATTAAGCAATTATAGCAAAAAAAAAAAAAAAAAAAAAAAAAAAAAAAAAAAATACTCACTATGGGCTGCCGTACGTTGCGCTCCCAAGTTGGGGCAAAGGAGCTCGATCACCACCAGCGCCAGATAGAGGGGACGAATCACCTAATCCAATGCCTCCAACAACTACAGCTAGCACAATTACGGGCCTGAATTCTAACCATATTCAACTCGAACCCGCACAACTGCCCATGTGTTTTGCTCCACGAAGAATTCATTCCTAGTACAGGCGGTAGAATGTAGCAGTATCCAGATTCAGTTAGTGTTTACAGATCTGTATTCTGGGCGGAGTTCTGAGTTCACTGAGAACCAAATCTTTGGGCTCCAACATATATTCCCTTACCTTAGACTTGTCTCCCTTTCAGCTTAGCATTAAAGATTTTAATTGCAACTACGGCCGCACTTGCGGTGGTGAGCTGCTGCTTTCGGCAGAAGAAATATTCTCCATGCGTTTAACCGAACCATGCAACTTTTTTTATCAACACCCCATCTCCCTCGATACGAGGTCTTATCTAACTAGTTCTGTGAGCCTTCCACTCCACACAATCTCCGGCCCCTCCTCATCTTGAACGAATGAGTCAACAGCGAGCTGCACCCATCCTCACATCATAGAAATAAGAAGGAAAATACCAAAATTGTTTATTGGACCTCATTTTCGGTCCGGGAAACCGGCCAGTGAATGATTCCAGCTTGATAACAACAGCGTTATCCTTCGTCTTCTAACTTTCAACTTAGTGCTGCAGATTTCCACAAACTCTTTCATGCTCCAGAAAACAAGACAGAGACAGAAATGTTTTTTCCAAAAAAAAAAAAAAAAAAAAAAAAAAAAAAAAAAAAAATTAGCAATAATAAAATAACACAATAATAATCATGAGGAAGGCAACATAGCGTTCACAATTGGCAACACTCTTCAAAGTCGGCC